TCCTCGCAGAACTTAGTGAGAAGATATTTCAGCAGCAGGGTCACTTCTGAAAAGAAAAAACTAGCTCCTAGAATTAGAGGCATACAAATGACATTACAAAACTATCTATAATTTTTTCACTACCTATGTGTGATCCAGTCATAACTTGAAACAAGACCCAGATCTGTATCACATTTAACCAAAAGAAGAGGACTATGGCACTCAAAAAAGGGAGCCTAGAAGCAGGCTAAAGGAACTCTACTCAATATTTTTTCCAGACATATGCACCCTAAAATAGCATGGCTGGAGGATATGAGTAAATATTTTGTAACACCATACCACCACTCACAGCATTTTGTAACACAATTAGGTTTATAACATCCATACTCTGAAGGGGCAATGGACACCTTGATATAGATGCACAAATAGGGTGTAGAAAACATGTGCCAGAACTAAAATCTAAAGGATAAGAATGAGCAACCAGGAAAAATGTTAGTCTCCAAAGAAAAATAAATGAAAAAACAACCCAAGCAGGAAGGGGTCTTGATTGCAAAAGTAAGATGTCAAGGCCAGATAAGATAGCATTTTTCTTTTGGAGAAGGGGAGCAGAAAGCATAAAACATTGGTGATAAATGAAGAGAAGAAAGACAGGGAAAAATGAGGACAGGCCACTGTGATTCCTGCTTCTCTCACTGAAGAACTGGACTTCAGTTTACTCAGGGATTATAAAGTGGTGTCTTAGTGGATTGATTCAACTGCTGACAAAGGATAACCTTTCCTGTACTCAAGTGAAAAAAAATTAAAACTGTTATAAAAAATATAAGATGCATAGATGGCATCAGAAAATATAGTTAGGTAGGTCTAATGTCCTGTTTAGTACAGACAAGTCCATTGGTATGTTATAACAAGAAAAACAGCAATAAGACACTTAACCAGTTTTGTTCTTTATAAACCCCTCAACAACAGATACTGATAAAATAGTAAATAGTATGAATCAGTGGGATTCAATGTGAATATAGAGAAAGTATGGAGTACTTTGGGAAGACATTTAGTTCTCCAAGTTCTAATGTCATAATGATTACAGCCGAGTTCCAAACTATTCTACATCATTAGAAACTCTGGTTCATCCGTGAAGTTTTTGCCTATTATTTTGCAAGAAGAGTTGAAGAGATTTTCACCTAAAGTCTCCTTGTAAGTTGGTAACAGCAGAGGAGTCACAGGGGCTTTAATTAGGGTTTGATGTTTTTAGGGCTAAACCTCAGAAGTATCAGGAGAGCTGATACAATAGAGAAGAAATAGGGAATTCAGCTGGAAGTAGATACATCTCTCAATAAATGTTCAGAGACATAATTTGAGAGATCATGTTATTGTGAGAATCAAAGTGAGGTTCATAGGGTACTGGAAATACATGCATGAAACTATTCTAAATTAACATATTTGCTGTGCCATGTGCCAAACTGAAAAGTGAGAAGGAAGAAAGAGGTATTTTTTATTTTATTAGCTGAACATAATTTAACTCAAATGAAATGGAAAATATGTAACAAACTATTCAAGCTTGACTATTGATTCAGTATCTTTCTTACCTGTTTTTTTAAAAAAAATATGCACTTGAGAAGGCTTAATTTTTTTCCTGTTAGAATGTGATTTATTTTCCTATGATGGAATCCATAAAGAAAGCACTCTTTTTTGCCATAATTGTTGATTCTTCAGTTTTGGCAGCTAGTTTTCATATCAAGATTCAGCAAAAAATAGCCCCAGCTAAAAAATTGAACTTAAAGTGAATTTTTTAATTAGTAATTATGGTTTGTATTATTATTTTTTGATTACAGATTTGAATTTGGTAGGGACATGTTTCATTTTGTATTATATTCACACTTTTTCTTATACAAAAATATATTTGTTGCGTAATAAATTACCTAGTTTTTAAAGATATGATGTTTTCAGCTGGATTTGCAAATACTTAAGAGAAAGTAAACTAATGAGGATTATCAAAGCATAAAAGAAACCTCTCTTATCTATCCTTTACATTAAGCTGGAAGGGATATCAAGTACAGGTAGTGGTGTGGCCAACTTCAAAGAAATTCAAAAAATTCTGAGCATTGCTGCCAGCAGCTAAACTTACAGCAGACAAATAAACAGGGCCAGAATATGGCCACAGGCAAGGAAATTGCATTGTCTATCACTGTTGCATTCTCAGAGCAGTTGCTGGCCTGACTTTGGTCCAGACCAACTAGTCCTTGTCCAAAAAAATGCCTAGGCACAGCTCAAGAATGCCAATGATCTTTTATATTAGGCAGCTAGAATACAGTTATCCTATTTTAAAAACTATGTTTAATTTTAAAGATACAGCTGAATGTCATCAGGATCAGGTTGTAGTTACTGCCACTGCTTAGCTACCATTAGACAAACACTTTGTCTTGTTGATGTATGTTTCAACAGAAAAGTGTTACCAAAGGAAATAGAAACCAACATATTTTTTAAATTAAGAGTAATTATAAAAAAAGCAGAATATCTTTTAGCATCCGTGAGTATAAACTAGGACAGCTATAATGCTGGGGCCTGAAGGGCCAGCCCTGAGCCAAAGCTGACCTATAAGATAAACTCTCCAACCTAATATTATATGTAGCCTAGTATTGTATTTAGCCATATATCTGCTTATTAATGAAGAATCTATATAATCCTTAGTAATGTTTTAAGAATACATATTTATGCTTGTTAGCACAGCATATTATCAATAATTAGTAAGGTTTGTATGTGTTATAAATATTCCTTTCTTTTCAGCCAAGGTCGTGGGAAGAGTAGGCAGCTGGTTCATATTTGAGATATCAAAGTAGTCATAATTCTATATTTAGAGACTAAGCAAGGTCATGGGGCATTTGATAATAGTCAGTCCAAACTGACTCCTCATTTTACCTTGGGCCCTGGCCAGGCCTAAGGGGAAAACCAGGAGGAGAATAAAGCCAGATTGTTTTTCTGCAACAATCGAGTGATGTAAGCTAATTTGTTTTACACTATATAAGCTGGACCCTCTCAAAGCAAAGATGAGGCTTCCCCTATGGGTGGACACACTGCATAGGATTTCCCAGTTGCTGGGAAACAGGTTCTCCAGACCTCCGCTGTGATCAGGGCCTTCTCAGCTGAAGAGCGGTCTGGATGATGATAATTACTTAGGGCAACTGGTGATGTATCTCTCTTAATCACTATAAGACTTTCTTTGTAGTAATTATTAGCTGCATCGTTAAGTGTATCCTTTCATAAGCCACTGCATTATAGTAAATTTATACACCTGTTTTTAAAGTTGGTGTCCGTGATCCTTAAATCCATCGTCGTTACCAGGTACGAGGGAGGGCGGGGGCAAAACAGATTGACAAAATGACAGCTCTAATGATTGAAATGAAATTGCTTTAGATTATATGACTAAAACATCAAGCCACACTAATTTTCCCTGTGGTTGCCAAGACTCAAACTTACAGTTTCAACTACAAGTATCTCTAAAGAATTTTTGTTTTGTATAATCGTGACCCTTGTATATGATGATTCAAGAATATGTCTAATTTTTCTGTTCCATTATGAAAACTAGGACAGATAGCTCTGAGGAAAAATATGTATGGTGCTTACAGTTCAAACAAATTTTCTTAGAAACATTTTCTGTAACAGTTCAGTATTTCTCAAATGCAGAAAAAGTACTTTTGGAGCATTTTATTCTCAATAAAAAATGGGGGGTCCTTGGATTAGTGCATATTTAGCTGACCCAGTTTGAATAAAATCAGGAGAAGCCCTGTTACCTTTTGCAATACACAGAATGCCCCAGAGGTTGAAAAAGTTCATGAAATGTAAAGGCAGGTAAAGATTCATGGCTGTAAAATATTCATACACCTAGAATTGTCCTTGAGGATGATGAAATTGCCTATTCAATTCATTACAACATGTAAGAATTCAAATTGCCATAATGAAAGACCTAAGCCTGCATAAGCAATATGCAGTTATAACATAATTTTTGTTAGTAGACTACAAAGAACTACAAGCATCAGGAAAAAAAGGACCACGAAAATAAAAATAGTTAACAATTTTTTTCATATCCCAACAGACTTTAAAAAGTGAAAAAAAAAAGTAGTTGAAAAGACTTTAACAGATTTTCTTAACATCACAACACTTGTTTTTCTGTTATCAAACTGAAAATATTTTTCCAAAATAGGATGTTGAATAGCCAGTTCTAGGACATGGCAAAGTATTTCCCTTAAGTTCTGGATTTAAATTAATGCAAAAAATATTATATATATTATTTAAATTAGTTAAATTTATCTTTGGCTACTTGGGGAATCATTTGTCTGTTGTTAACTGTTTTCTTTCTGATTACTGTCTATATTACCCGGAATATAATCACTGCACAACAACTAGACTAAGCACCATGCACAGTTATTACACTGTGCTCTTTATGCAGCCATAACAATACCTATTAAGAATTTACAGGACTGTTCTAGTATTGACATCATAACAGAGACAAAACCTGTCTACATAGAGCAGAACCTCATTGCTGGATTGTTTGTGAAATTCTTATCCCCATAATACTGAAACAAAATAATGTTTAAACTATAAAAGCACACATAAAATAAAAATTGGGGTTTAAGGCAAAATTAATATAGTTAGTATCAAATTCTCATGCTTTGCCTGAGTGGCTATAAATTTTAGTTAAATTACTATTTTGTTGTCATTTTAAGCCACAAGGTGGCAGCAATGATATAATGTCTTCATCCAAGACTGTATAACTGTCCACTCCCACTACTTTTACTCTTAAAGCATCTCCTGTGCTTACAGGGAAAACATGACAGAAAGAGATACTATATTTTCTTTGAAAAAGTACAGTTCCAAACTTTGTTGCTTGCTAAATGTTTTGAATTCACAGGGTTCTTTTGCTTTGGTGGTTTGGTTGGTTGGTTGATTGGTTTGGTTTGGGTTGAGTTGCATAAACCTGTCATTCCTGGTACATGATCATTCAGCCACAGAGAAGATGCAGTGCTTACCGATAGCTGTTGAAAAGATCCGTGCAAGTGCCATTGTTTTTACAAGGCTCTGAATTACATTCATTCGATTCCTTTTCACAAAATGTTCCTTCCCATCCGGGCAAGCAATCACATTGGTATCTCTGAAATATATTAGGTAAAACAAACAATTTGTTTCATCATTAATATAATTACAAGAGGCGTTATTACTGATGGTTGGAATACATTAACAAACAGCAAAAAAAGTTTAGGAGTTTTTTTAGAAGCTGAGTGCAAAAATAGACTGCCACAGTATGATGATCAAATGTGTAACATACTAGCATTGTGGCATCTATAGGTGTTTGGAGTCTGCAAATAACTTTGCTACATTTTAGCTGTTTTGTTATTGAAATTTGGAGACAAACAGACAACGGTATTTCAAACGTATATGGGCTATCAACTTCATATAAACAGTAAAGAGAAATTATTTCATTTCCTAGTACTGTTTAAAAATATAAAAAGTTAAGAGTCAGAACACTGAAGAAAATCCAGATTAGGCAGTTGTCCCAGACTTTTCTGTAATGGTATTCTTACCCCCTTCTGCCAAATTAAAAGCTTAGAACATTTTATCGGAGCAAAGATAACAAAAAAGAAAGGAAGTTAACTGTTTGAAGTCAAGCTCAGTACGATTGTCCTGGGACGTCACACAGTGTGCAACAGCTCCACTCATTCCAGGACTTCAAATAAAATTGTTTACTTGTATATTCTAGCATAGCTGGTCAAATCAACTTTTGCACCAACCAATTTGTACATAGTGAATTTATGATTCATATTTTTCCCAACTGCATTCTATTTGTTTAGTTCTCATGTTGACAAACACCATTGCTATGCTTGCTTGGGATACACCTGTGATTTGTATGACATGGATTTTCTGAATCCACTGAGATAAACTTTGGAAATCAGGAAATAAATTTGAAGGGTATCTTTCTGAGTTAATATAGGGCATGGAACATGGGCAGACGGAATCAATTTGTGTGGGGAGGCTCTACAGAGGGATCTGGACAGGCTGAATCAATGTGCCAAAGCCAGTGGCAAGAGATTGAATAAGGCAAAGTGCTGGGTCCTTCCCTTCAGTCACAACAACCCCATGAAGTGCTACAGGCTGTCAGAAGAGTGACTGGAAAGTGACCCAGTAGAAAAAATCCTGAGGGTGTTGGTCAACAGCTGGCTGAACATGAGCCAGCAGTGTGCCCAGGTGGCCAAGAAAGCCAAGGGCATCCTGGCCTGTATGAAATCGTGTAGTTAGCAGGAGTGGGGAAGTGATTGTCTCTCTGTTCCTCGGCACTGGTGAGGTCACACCTTGAGTAGTGTCCAGTTCTGGTGCCCTCAATTCAGGAAGGATATTGAGGTGCTGGAGCAAGTCCAGAGAAGGGAAACAGAACTGGTGAAGGGTCTGGAGAACAAGTCCTAGATGGAGTGGATGAGGGAGCTGGGGTTGTTTGTTTTTCAGAAAAGGACATTCAGGGGTGACCTTATCACTCTGCAACTATCTGAAAGGAGGTTGTAGCAAGGTGGGGGTCAGCCTCTTCTCACAGACAACCAGTGACAGGACAAGAGGAAATGGCCTCAAGTTGTGCCAGGGGAGGTTCACGTTGGACATCAGGAAGAATTTCTTCACTGAACCGGTGGTTAAGCACTGGAGTGGGCTGCCCAGGGAAGTAGTTGAGTCATCATCCCCATAAGTGTTCAAAAAACATGTGCATGTGGCACCTGCAGACATAGTTTAATGGTGGTACTGACATTAACAATTGGACTTCATGATCTTATAGGTCTTTTCCAATGTTAAAAATTTTACGATTCTATAGGTTACAGAAAAAGTTTATTAAAACATTTTGTCTTTTTAAAATGTAATACTGAGACATGAACTTGGAAAGAGAAAAAACTTTTCTAGGAAGTGTGCCAAGGAAAGAAAAGAGAAAATACATTTGAGACAAACTACACTACTAGCACACATGTTTGTGATTCCTATTACGTAACAGCCACACAGAATTTCCTCATTTCTCTGCATATTTATCAGTGCAAAATGGACAAAAATGGGCACTATTAATCCATACCCACAAGTTATTATCAGACATCTCCTAAAAACTGTTTTATTACCAGGTTAGGTTTTCAAATATACCAGATAAAGACTAGCTTCCAAAAAGCTCTTCCAGAAATGTATTACAAAATTAAAAGTGAAAGGAGGCTTGCCAACAGTTTTGTTTAGAAAGCAGCAGTATTTTTCTAGTGTCACTAAAAGTATTTGTCAATCAATTGCTGAAAGTTTATGATTTGTAGATTTCTCATTACATGAGGATTGTCACATCAAGAACAAAATATTACTTACATATATGTATATCATGCATATGTGCACAATAAGCAAACTAAAAAATCTTACATATTATTTCATCTCTGTGTAGTTTTACAGTGACTGAGAGTGACATGTTGAAATAAATTATATACAAGTGTAAGCACATAAAAAAGGTTTTGATAGATACAAATCTTTACAGAGAAGGACCTAGGAGTCCTGCTGGACACCAAGCTGGACATGAGTCAACAATATGCCCCTGTGGCCAAGAAATCTAACAGCATCCCAGGATGCATAAAGAGGAGTCTGTTAGCATGCCAAGGGAGGTGATCTTCTCCTCTACTCAGCCCTGGAGAGGCCACAAATGAAGTGCTGTGTCAGTTCTGGGCTGCCTGGTACAAGACAGATATGGAGCTATTGGAAAGAGTCCAGCCAATAAAATTATGAAGAGATTGACACATCTCTCAGATGAGGAAAGGCTCAGAGACGTGGGATTGTCAGTCAGGGCATAGCATACACTGAACAACATAAAATGACAGGAAGATGTGTAGTAGAAAGTATGCAGTGAATCAAACAAGAGACTGAAGGAAGAGAATTTAACACCTATTTATATATTTTTCCCCTTTATTTACTGTAATTATGTATTACTATCCATTGTAGAAAGCTAAAATAAATGGTACCTTTGAGTTCCTTCAAATTATCTTTTGCTTGTCCTCTAAGAACACAATAAATGTGTAAATAACACCATAGTTATTCCCTGTACAATATATAAGACAGTCTGTGTAAGAACAGTAGATTTTATCAGCTAAATACAAGATCAAACTGTAATTTTTTGACCTCCTTCATTCATACCCAGAACCACGCACACACATTAGCATGTATTTATCCCACTATCTGTGTGTGTGGTAAGAAACTGCCATTTAAGAGTATTTGCATATTTTCCCTTCTCCAACACTGTAAATGAAGAATTAATCATTTCCTTAAGACATAATCAATGTTACTTAACTGGAAAATGGCAGCTGAACATCTGGCAAACCGAACCTACAATGAAAAAGTTTCATCACACACAACAAGGATCTGAATTATGAACAAGGCAAATCTTCAGGCCTGTCCTTTGCTTGTGTAGGTTGAGCAAAATTTTTACAGTATAAATATATACTCCAGATACTTTTTCCATGTCCACAGAAAAATGAAAGCAATTTAACTTTAAAGATACTATGGAGTTGGGTCATTTTTGGGGGTGTTACAGTTTTTCATTTGCAGAAAGAACAAACAATACCTTTCCTAGATACTGAAACACTCAAAAGAAACACAGAAATGCCCCTTTACTCTGTATGTTCCAAGTCCTTTTGCCAGACCATGTTTCTTTTGGAGCAACTCTTTTCCATTAAGGCCAAAAAGGAGGAGCACATCATAAGACCATTTAGTATTGGCACATAATGGGAGATGTACTCCAACCTCTACAGAAAACTTCATCACAAAACTCTTTTTCTGCTGCAAGCAGAGCTTTTTCTCCTTCAGAAAAGCTTCATGGAACTTCATTTTGCTAGTGCCAACAGCAGTTTACTTAACCTTGTGAAATAAATGTGAACATAAAAATATAAGCATCTGTGAAATCATATTTGCAATTGCTCTAAACCATATTGAGATTCTAACATTATTTATGCAGCCTTTTTTGTTAATTTAAGTGTCTTTTCTGAGTTACTACTTTCAGGTTTACTTTTAACTTGTTATTGATTTGATCATTTGCATAATTATACGTATTCACTAAGAAAATAAGGTTCTTATTTCTCACTATGACATTGTTTTCATTATTCAATTCTGTTTTGATTTGTATCCTAAATAAGCAAGCTTATTTAAAAACAAAACAAAGCAAAATAAAACAGCAAAACAAAAACAGTATACCTGTTCATCTTTGTTAGGTTTAACACTTATACTAAACAAGACCAAGCTAAAACAAGATCTATGCAGAGTGAAGTCCCATCAACCATACTACCTTTCCATCTTATGGTAATTAATTATTTACCTGTTCTTCACAGGATGTAGGAATAGTGAAAGTGAATGGATGAACAGTGCTGCTCCACAAAAGAAAGAAAATTGACTTTGGACGCATGAAGAAAATCTGCAATTAGCTCTGTAGCTCCTACTCTGAAAAACAGACATGGCCTGCTCTAATATTAGTTATTGGCTCTGTAATGGATAGTCGGATTCCCTAACTCATGGCAAAGAAACACCTCTTGGGAGTAAGTGTCATGAGGTTTTCAATACAATTATTAATACTAATCTTACTTTGAGAAATAATTATAAGAAGTCCCATGATAGAATAAGGTGAAAAAAAAGTAGGAAACATACTTTTTCAGAAGTCCTGAACAATTGCAATAAAAAGTGCTGCAACAACTGACTGGTTCTGACAAACTTACTATTTAAAAAAACCAATTTAGTTACCAAATCTTATTAATAGATTCATAAACTGATGTATTGTTATCTATTCTTTTATTTAAAAAAGGGTTTTTTTTCTATCTTGTTCTTGCTATATGTTACACAGCCTATGTGGGTTTTGTCCTATGCACTACAAAATGTGAAATAATAACTTTATTAAGTAGTAGTTATCTACAGAAGTTGAGGTAGCATTATGGATTTTCCAGCAATTCTATATTCTCTATTTTTATCTATATATCCTTTTCTACAGAGTTAGATCCTAAAAATTCTGACCAGTATATTTATTTGTCCTCCCAAACCTGCTTAGGATCTTTTGCACCTAAGTTATAAATATAAGTTATTATAAATTATATATTAACTGATATAATGGATAAAACA